TCAGGCACTGGAAGGGGCTGCCCAGGGAAGGGGTCGAGTCCCCAGCCCTGGGGGGATTTAACAGCCGCTGAGGGCCGGTTTGGGGGTGGGATGGCAGGGGTAGGGAGTGGTTGGGCTGGGGGAGCTTAAAGGTCTTTTGCAACCTAAATAATTCTATGCATCTTAGTCAAAATTGTGGATTCTACACCTTGGATGGAGTAACGCGGGGCACAGGTATAAATGGGGAGAGGAGCAGCGGGGGAGCAGCCCTGCAGGATGGGACATGGGGTGCTGGTTGCAGCAGGCTCAGCAGGAGCCAGCAGCGCGCCCTGGCAGCCGGGGGGGCAAAGCCCACCCTGGGGCGCGTCAACCCCAGCATGAGCAGCCCGTGAAGAGAGGGGTTGTCCCACTGCGCTTCGTGTTGGTGTGGCCTCACCGTCAGTGTGCCGAGCTGGGGCCCCCCTTAAACAATGATGTGAAGTTACTGGAATGCATCCAGGGAGGGATGGCGAAGGGACGGGAAGGCATGTCCTGTGGGGAGCAGCTGAGGACTCTGGGCTTGTCTGCTTTGGCCACCAGCAATGAGGTTGAGGGGCACCTCATTGCGCTGCAGCTTCCCGAGGAGGGGACGTGGAGAGGGAGGTGCTGAGCTCGGCTCCCTGGGGTCCAGGGACAGGACGCCTGGGAAGGGTTCAAAGCTGCATTGGGGGAGGTTCAGACTTGACAAGAAGCATTTCTTTACCGAGAGGGCAGTCGAGCCCTGGAGCAGGCTTCCTGGAGAGGGGGTCGATGCCCCAAGGCTCTCAGTGTTTAAGATGCATTTGGACGATGCCCTCAATAACGTGCTTTAACTTTTGGCCAGCCCTGAAGTGGTCAGGCGGTGGGACCAGAGGGTCATTGCAGGTCCCTTCCAACTGGAATAGTCTATTCTGCTTATATCGATTTGATAGCGACTTTTACAAAGGCTCCTGCTCCTGGAGGGGCTTCCTGGGGAGATATCAGCACTTCTGGGAAGACCCTGGGGTGGGTGGCACAGCCTCAGGGAGCCATGGTCACTGCATCCCAGGGACTCTGTCCCCCCCCCTCTGCAGTCCCCCATCCCCTCGGTGCCATGGCTCTGCCTCCCAGGACACCTCCTGCCCAAAGCTGCTTTAATTTCTTGTACTCCCCTAAATTTCTCGGTGATAGCTGCTCTTCAGCTAGCTACTGTCTGGTCATGTAAGCACCGATGTCTTGGACTGACCATCACCGGTGGGACGGTGCTCTCTGAAGGAGAAGGGAAAGCCTGGGCAGCAGAGGGTGCTGTGAAAGTGCTGGTGAGGGAGATGATCTCCTGCCGAAACCCTCAAGGAAAGTGTGGTGGTTTTGTGTACCTAAAAACCCCTCAAACTGTCATCCATCTCTCCTTGAGCATGAGGTGCCACCTCTGCAGCCTGGCCACGGGCTCCCAGGGCAGGAGTTCTGCAGGGATGGTACCCTCTCTGCTGGGAGGACGGGAAAGGGCAGTCTGGCTGGGTCCAGCCCTCTCTCCATCCATGCTATGAACTGTAACGCCGCTGGCCGTGCTTGTGCTGCTTCGGCTGGGTGAGATGGGTGTTTATGTTGCACTCATTATAATGCATTGATAAGTCAGGCCCCTAATGACCTGCTGCAGCTGTGAGGTTGGGCCCAATGGGGGCTGAGGTTGGACCACAGACCCCAGAGGCTGCTGCCAGCCAGCACCACCCCAATGCGCTGGTTGACGCTGACTTTGCTCTGCAGCTGTGGAGGAACAGCACAGGGAGAAATAAGCCCCTTCCTAAGTCAGCTGGTTATGAAGCTTATTGGTGTTCCTTCTCGTGCAGAGCAGGTGAGATGTTTCTTCTTGTGTGTGCATCTACGCTGTTGAGTTTAGTTTAGCAAAAAACTTGAGCTCAGGCTTTTCTAGTTTGTCAGGAGCAGAGTCTGAAGTCTGTTACGGAAAAAAACCAAACCCTGTAGGTTTTGGGGAGCTGTAAGGAACAGCCTTGATCCACCTAAACCACCACTGCATGCCTCCCCCTCATCAGAGGGTTTACAGAGCTCCACGCAGACACACCCAGCATTAGTCACGTTGCATATTTGATGGGAGCAATGACAGCAACTTGTGGAGCAAGGAAGAGACAAACCTTAATGTTTTCTCTCTGCCAAGTACTTCACGTGACAAAAGCACAGGTAGGACCTTACAGGAGGCCTTGTGACCTCGGAAGGTCCCCAGAGGAGAGGCTGCCACATGTGAGGATGATGTCTGGATAGGCAATGGCTGGTCCAGAGGGCAGCTGGGCATTGCTACTGAGCAGGAGAAACTTGGGGAGCTCAGGCACACTGATTCTTGCTTAACTCCTGCGACGGGTGCCTTCAGGCGTGTACACCCATGTGCCCTCCTCCGTAGCTTCAACAGTCCCTGTTGCACTTGGGCTGCCACAGGACCCTGCTTGGTGGAGCTGGGTGGCTTGGCAGAGTGGTCCTGGCTGTCCTTACCTCGCAAAGCTCCTGACCAACTCCTCTGTGGGGGTTAGTCCTGCCAAAGCCTCTGCTCAGGAGGCTTCCTCATCTGTCTAGCAGTCCTCTGGTCCAACAGAGTGTGTGTGAGAATCAGCAGTTGGGGCATCTCTCCTGCTGTGCTTCTGCTCTTAACCCTCCTCAGGCACGTAGTTTGGGGTTGGGCAGACTCTTGGAAGTCTCTAGACTCAAGCGAGTCTCAAAGCAGGGTGACTTTCCAACTAGATCAGGCTGCTTAGGGCTTTGCCCTGTTCAGTTTCGAGCATCTCCAGGGATGGACATCCCACCAACGCTCTGGGCATGTTTACAGTGCTCAATTACATCTATTGAGAATTACTGCCCCCCTAAAATCTGGCTGTATTGCTGGACCTTTCACCAGCTGTTGCTCTGTTCTGCAGGGCACTGGACAAGAGATAATTTATTCTATTGGCCTTTCTTGGGACCACACTTTAGGAGCGTTGATACAGGAAATACCATTCCTGTAACGCTGTAGGGCCGGGTAGAAGTCATTAGAGTGCAAAAGCATCTTGCCCCAAATGGGAAGCTGTTGCGAAATCTTCCCTTTCTCGGCATCCAGTAATATCTTGCATGTCTTCTGCTCTAGCAACTGCATGTCAGCGGCCTTTTTTTGCCACTTCTTAACCTTTTACTTGTGTTTACGTTCTTCTTGGGTACCTGTGGTTGAGGCTTTCAGTGCAAGGTACAACATCTTGTATAGAAGGAGCCTTGGATCTTTTTCTTGGTCAATTCGATGATTAAATGCCTACTTTGTTCTATGGTGCTTCTCAGCATGGTTTTCACTCTCTTTTGCTGTAGGAACGCTCACCTTTGCCTTGCCAGGTCTATGCCTGACCTGCCTGAAAGGTCACTTAGGTCAGGGCATTCCTAGACCAGTATTTTGCCACCTCTTTGTAGTTGTTTTCAAGGCGGGAGAGGCTGCAAAGATGGCCACCCAGACCGAGCAGGAGTGCAGTGAGCAGAAAGGTCATCGGCAGAGGTGTTTGTAGGTGCCTGAGTTGGTTAAAGTGTTCCTGCAAGTCCTCTATACTTCCTATGCTTCCTTTGGGTTTCATTGCATCTTCTTCAATATCCCACGTGACTCAGAAAAAACCCTGAACTGGTTTTGCACTGTGTCCTCTCCACATTCTTCAGAACATTAAATGGCCTCTGCTGAGCGTGCTATATCCACCAGAAGCACCAGATACACGCTCTGGCTTGCACAAGCCACTGTAGAAGAGCCTGGGGAAAGGCTACAGGCACCTTGGATACTGTGTTCAGTTTTGGCCCCTCACTACAAGAAAGACGTTGCGTTGCTGGAACATGTCCAGAGGAGAGCAACCAAGCTGGTGAGGGGTCTGGAGCACAAGTCATACGAGGAGCGGCTGAGGGAACTGGGGTTATTTAGTCTGGAGCAGAGGAGGCTGAGGGGAGCCCTGACCGCCCTCTACGACTGCCTGAGAGGAGGCTGTAGTGAGGTGGGGGTCGGCCTCTTCTCCCTGGTAACAGATGATAGGACGAGGTTTGAAGCTGCGCCAGGGCAGGTTTAGGCTAGACATTAGGAAAAACTTTTTCACCGAAAGGGTTGTCAGGCTCTGGAATGGGCTGCCCAGGGAGGTGGTAGAGTCCTCATCCCTGGAGGTATTTAAAAGAAGGATGGATGAGGTGCTTAGGGCCAGGGTTTAGTGGTGGGATGGCAGGGTTAGGTTAAAGGTTGGACTCGATGATCTCAAAGGTCTTTTCCAACCAAAGTGATTCTATGATTCTATGATAAGTTGGCAGGTAAATAAATGCTGCCTTTTGGATTGCTTGGTCTGTGCTATCAGCACCGTGAGCCCGGAATTTGAGTACTGACATTTGTGCTCAAAGAAACGCCGTGTGAGTGGTTACAGCCTTGCACTGGGCTACCAAACCAGCCCACTTCCTCCAGGACCTTGGCTGGGTGTGGGCAACGGTGCACAAAGGCCCTGTAATTAAATGGAGCTCTTGCAAAGTGCCACATCCTGCTCTTTCATGTCAGCACTTAAATTTAGGAAAACAAACAAATAATAATTCTGTTGGTGAAAACCACAACAAGCATGGGCCCATCCAAGCCAGAGGTATCTCGTACTGACAGAGGAAATATTCTGCTCATGGGTGATACTGCTCTAAAGGTCACCAGCACTTTGGGACCCATTCTGTCTTCTGCTGGGCTGATTCCCCACCTGGATGGTCATTCCTTGAGCTCCTTCACACTGTCCTTCCAGGGCTGTGGATAAGCTTGGTCCACGGAAGACAGGGCAGGACATCTGTACGGCCTGCAGCCACGAGAGCAATTGGGTGCAAGAGCAAAACCTATTTGTTTTGGTAGCGCTGAAGAAACATGTCAGCTGGTAAGCTGGAAATCCCCCCACTGCATGGGGAGGGGCTGCTCTGTTTCCCAGGGAGGACGGCACCCTTGTTCCAGAAGAAGTAAGCATCTGTGGAGTGGATGCTGCTGCTGTGTGCATGGGACACCTTCATCCTCTTCAGCCAGGGCAGGTCCTCGTCTCTCATGCAGCCGGCTGCTGGAGTTCCCAGCTGCTCAGGCAAACCTGCCTTAGACCAACGTATAGGCAGGCACCGGTACAGACCTATCACCTCGTGTCTGGCCGCACGGGTCCAATTTGCTTTCCAAAGTGATGTTCTTGAATCACCTCCCGATACAAACTCTGCCACTAGGGCCCATGGAAGAGAGCTGGAGCTGCTGTGAAAGGGGTCTTCTCCAGTCAGGCCAGTTTGGCTCTGGAAATGATGCAGCCTGATTTGAGCACCGAATGGTGGTGCTGTGAAATGAGCGGGTTCCAATTTGGTCCTGGTCTGGGCTTCCTTCTAACCCAGATGACCTGTTGCATCACAGACTTTGGACTTGAAGCCACCTGTAGTGAACCTGACTTGCTGGTTGTCTTGTGGAGAACTGATGCTGGCAAAACACATCTGTTGCTTGTTCAGATCAAGGCACCGACTGGGAGTCCCACAGAAATACCAGGTTCACGTGACACTGATGGTCTGACTTTTCTCAGTGTGGAGATCCCAGGAGTGGAAATCCAAAGGGTGCAAAGCAAATCTCACGCAGGCAGGCATGACAATCAGCCTCCGCGATGGCTCTGTGTCCACAGGCCCCTTCAACCACATGTCTTCCAGCCCCATCACCTCTCCTCCTGCCAGGAGGGCAATGGTGGTGGGAAGGGGCCTCTGGGGTCCGCATCCCAGCCCCCCACTCGCAGCAGGACTGTCATCAGCAGCCGAGGCTCTGTCTGGCTGAGGTGGCCCCATGCAACTTCAGAGCAGCATCCAGGAAAAAGTCAGGTGGAAGAAAACAAGCATAACCAGCCGGGCCTATAGGACGGTCATCCTTGAGCCAGCAATTAATACCTTAACGGTTTCTGGTCTATGCTGTGTTTCACAGCTCCTGTGCAGTGCCCGCTGAGAATGAGACAGGGATCCCACCTGGGTGCACTTCTTCCACATTTCTCATGGTTGAGGTATTGGACCTCTCCACTTTCTGCCAGCCGGGGAGAACAGGACAGTCAGCGTGGGAGCTGCACAAGCTTATAGCCCAGATCCTCCGTTCCTTGCACTGCCCCATGGACCCTCAAGAGCTTGCTGAGAACCTGGGACACCCTCTTCTCCTGGCAGGACGTGGGTGTTGATGCACAGACCAAAGCACAGTGGCGCCTGCTGCCACGCCAGGGCTGGTGGAGCCCTGGGACAGCAGGCTCACAGCTCACACGCCCCACTCTATGGCCTTTGGCTATGGCCCCTGTGTGTAAGATAAACAAGAAGATCTGAAGTATTTGCCATAAGGATTGTTTTAAAAGGCCTCTTCCCATGCCACAGCCCTGCTCATACCCTCCCTGGGCATTTACTGCCAGCCACCTCTGGAGACGTGTCTGCCCTGCCCATGCTGGTGTGCCCTTGGTTTTGAACTACTTTTGGATGTGACTTTCATGGCAGCAAAGACCTTAAGTAAGAAGGGTTCCTCCTGCCTGTGGGTTATGCAAGTCTGGATTGGAAACAACCGGGGCAACAGCTGGTCCCGCCGGCACCTGAACCTTTCTGTTGACCAAGAGAAGTTTTGGGATTTCAGGCGAGGAGGCCAAGGATGGGGCAGGGATGCTGGGCTGCCAGTGCCAACCACCTGGTGTCCAGGTTGGGTGATGGGCATCTCCTCCAGCTTCTCCCCTTGCTCCCCAGCTTCCACGAGATGGCTGTGTACGACCTCCCTGCCATGGTTGGCTTCATCCCAAAGCAAACTGGGCAGGAGAAACCGTTCTATGTCGGCCACTCTTAGGGCAATTCTCTGGGTGAGTGAGGAGGAGGAGCAGGTGGTGCTGGGAATGGTGCTGGGATGCCATGGGAGAGGGGCATCAATGTCTATCCCAAATTGGAGACTGCTGGGACAGGGCTGCATTGGACCTGTGGCTGCTTTTCCCACCTGGCTTCTTGGTCCTTCTGCACGGGAGAGGTTTGCTGTGTCTTGGCCACCCACCCTGGGCTGTGCTGACACCCAGGGGTGCTGCAGCTTCGTTGTGTTCAGACCCTGTGTCCCAGACAGGAGGTCTGGGATGAGTGCTGTCGCTGTCGGGGTTATCATCGCGCCCTCTTGCTGCCTTTCAGGTTTCATCGCTTTTTCAAGCATGCCACGCCTGGCTGAAAAGATCAAACTCTTCTTTGCGCTGGCTCCGCTGTACACCTTTTGCCGGGCCAAAGGGCCCGTGTTGAAGATAGCGTTTTTACCCGTGGTGCTGAAGGTATGTGAGGTGTTCATGTGTTGTTATGACTGAAACCCAGGTGCTTTTGGCAACTCACATCCCCTGCGCTGCTGCCGTGCACTGAGCCGGTGCCTGCGGCAGGCGTTGGAGGCGCCTGTGGGCGGACGTGCGATCCCAAGATCCCAAACGGCAGGGATGTCCATCTCCACCCAGCTGAGCACCACCAGTTTTCACTGTTTAAAATATCTGAATCTCTCTATCATTACTACTTATGTCTTTGCTTATCGACCTCACCAGGCCCCAGCCCCACAGCGCAGGAGGTGCCGAGGGCAGCCCCGCGCCGCCTCCTTTCCACTGGAGCAGCTGGAGAAGGGCTGGGGGGGAGCTGGCACTCCCCCTGGCCGCGCTCCACCCGAGGGGCATCTCTCGGTGAATGGCACGTGTCTGGCCATCCTGACCCAAAATAAGGTATGACAGACCTGACAGCCAGAGGTGGACAATCAGAAACAGCAGCTCAGGAGATCAAAGGCTTCCAAGGAACAGGCACCAGCACCTCCCCACCTCACTGTATTTGCCCAGCCAGCAGAGCCGCTCACCAGCGCCTGCATCGGGGTGGTGAGCGTGCTCGTGCTTAGCCTAACAACGCTGGACCCATCTGCTCATTACTGTGCTCCCTGGTAGGTACAACAGTCGGTTGCCCGTAGAGCTGCGCATGGTTCTGCCTGCAAGTCCCTGCACGTGGCAACAGACGCCCACAGTGAGCCCAAGAGCAGGAGGTTTTAGGACCTCCAATCCAAAGAATAGGAAAATGCTGACAGTCCGGGTGGATTAAGACTCAGTGAGATTAATTTGCAACCTCCGTATCCCTCACCTTTTATCGGAGAGAAAAATATGTTTAAAGGATAAAGCCCTGCTCTCTAATCCAAACTGACGTCAGCCAAGCGGCTCGTGGGGCCAGAAAGCTGGTCTCGAAGCACCGACTGCCGTGAGGCATCTGGTGGTGCCTGCGTTGTGCACCCTGCAAGGCGCTGTGCTCAATTTGGGGCGCGCAGCTCAGCGCTTGCAAAGGTATACCAAGCCCCGGCCCCTGTCTGTGCAGCACAAGGGGAAGAATTCACATCAGGGAGCATCAGCCAAAGTCCCTCTGCCAATGCCTAACAGGAGGCTGGCAGGAGAAAGGAATTTGTTTGCAGGATCGGAGGCTGCTGCTGCAGGTTTGCAACACAGTGCTGAGGCGAACGAGGATGAAACGCAGGTACCGAGGACTGCCCCTTCAGACAGCACGCTTCAGGTTCCTCTTTCATGTGAAACAAGCCAGGCTCATGTTATTTCATCCACAGGACGATGAGTACTCGGAGAGACTCCTAACCGCCTTTTTATATTGCTTCCCAAATCGGGATCTTTCATGAAGAATGGATTTGCTGCACCAGACTAGAGGAGCTCAGGAGCCAAGGACCAGTGGGTCTGGCTGCTGCCGGCACCACATCAAACCCAGCCGTAAACTTGCTGAGCTCCACCCAAAAAACCCAGCCTGGAGATTCTTGCCCCCTTGTCCCTACAGAGCCTGCAGCGGGACCTGCCGTTTAGGCAGGAGCTGGGATTTCCAGCCCCAACCGGAAAACGGCCAATTTCTACTCACGTGCTCGTGGGCTAGTTTCAGGCTTTTGCCTGTACTGTCATCCGACCTCTTTAATTATTTAAAATTAAAAAAATAGGGCGAGGGTGTGTTTCTCCCCACACAAGGCCTGATCACCAAAGGCATGGAGAGCTGCCAAAACCGGTGGGTGGCTCGTGATGCAGATGAAGAGATAAAAATACAGGGGAATATACTGGCCTTACGGGAGATGGCTACAGATCCATGTTGTGAGTTACGAGTTGGGAGGCAGATTGAGGGTCTGGGAAGTTCTTAACCTCTGTGCTGGCAGACCTGCTCAGGGCACCCTCCAGGCTGATTAATGAGCAAACCCCAATCCATCACTCATAGATAGGAGGCAAAAAATGATCTGCAATCGATATCAATTGCATTTCCCTCCCATCCTCTCCGTGCCTGATGATGCAAACATTTGTGCTTTGGGAAAATATCTCCACAGCAGTCGTGATTTTGCATGGGGAGTGTACGTCCCTCGGGTGCTACTGAAGCTGTCTCCATCTCAAGAGGAAGCTCTTCACCGTGCCTCGATGTGTATTGTGAAGGACATCTCATTTGCCTGAACAAGGATTTTTCTCGCCTTTTAACTGGTGTGGTTTTGAAGGGGTTGGCATTCAGGCGCTTGTGTTCAGACGGACCTGTCTTCAGAGCATCACCAGTTTCACCCCGGCCCAGCTCTTCTTTACGTGAGAACAATTCTGTGGCACGAGACACGTCTGAGCGTTTCAGAGCACCGAATGCTCATGGGAAGAGCAGTGTCTTCCTCAATTTCTCCATCAGTCTGCTTCGACCGATTCCAAACAGCGAAGCCTCTGAGGGGTCCTTGGGTCAATGCTCCAAAGCATGGTTCACTTATTTTTCTTGCCCGGAGTGTTTCCAGGGAAAGTTTATCGCATCTGTATGCAACAAAATACAGCAAGAAACGCTGCCTCAGTCGATATGCTTTAAATTAACAGGCAACCAGGGCCTGTCCTGTTGACAGGAGACTGTGCTGAGACTGTCCCTCCTGTGACACCTGTGGCTCCCTCCCCCTGCCTTCAGAGCCCTTCACAACCCTCTGCTGCTCCCATGGGGACCTCAGCTGGTGCGGCAGCAGCTTGGCTCCTCCTGGAGCCGGCCAGCTGAGACTTGCTCTTGCAGGAGCCCGTGAGCCCGGTGGCCGGCGAGCCCTCAGGGACATGCCCAACTGTCGCCAAGAGCCAACCTGCAGATTTGGCAGGGTGGGGTCTGCCACGCGGCCCCCCAGCTTCCATTGCCCTTTCCCACCAAACCGGCATGCAACGAAAGAATGGTGATGGCCTCACAGCAGTTCTGGTGTGCACTGAGGCCCCGGCAGCCATCCCAGTGGTCCCAGCAAGGGGCACCGTGTGCCCCAGCTCCCCCAGTGCCCACCACGCAGACCCCGCAGGAGGGGGTGAGAGGGATGGCACAGCAGGTCACTGGGGGCCGTGTCCGGGTGAGCTGGGGCATCCCTGACGCCGTCCCCTCTGTAGAGCTGCTGCCCCTGAGGAAGGATTTGGGGGTTGTTTGTTTATTTATTTGCTTATATTCCCCTCCTGGGTCCAGCCACGTGCCACGCGTCTCATCTGCAAATGTCTCCCACTGCTGGGAGCTGATTTATTTTCATTTCAGTGAGGATTTGGGTCATGGCTTTGTTTCAGGATTTTAAAAGAGAAAGAAAATGTCTAAGCACAACAAAGCAGACAAAGCAATCAGGGAAAAGCACGTCTGTACCTATGTCAAAACACCAAGTCAAGCCGCATTTCTTTGCTTTGGGCAAATTGTTTCTTCATAATTGGAAAGAGAATTAAAAAAAAAAAGTGTTTAAACAGGATTAACTTACGCAGGAATTTGCGCTACAGAAAGACGCTTAGAGGATTTCTTAAAAATAGTAACAAAGCAGACAAAGCGATCAGGGAAAAGCATGTCTGTACCTATGTCAAAACACCAAGTCAAGCCGCATTTCTTTGCTTTGGGCAAATTGTTTCTTCATAATTGGAAAGAGAATTAAAAAAAAAAAGTGTTTAAACAGGATTAACTTACGCAGGAATTTGCGCTACAGAAAGACGCTTAGAGGATTTCTTAAAAATAGAAAAGTAAAAAATTGCCTAATCTGCTAATCTGATCATCCGACAAAATTATAAGTCATTTTTTTAGAAGAAACAAAAGTATTTGCTGGAAACAGATTGTCCTGAACAAACTGAAAAACTTGATTAGGTAAAGAGCACTACCTCACAAGACAATTTTATAGAAAGCTGCTTGGAACGAGGCAGAAGCAAGTGCAACCAAAACCAATACAGCTCGCACCCGTTCCAAAGGGTCTGGCTGGAGCAAAAGTCAGAAAGAAGTTGTCGAGTCCCCCTGAAAGGGAACTACAACCTTCCCCAAGGGCTTTCCACCCCACGACAGCCAGCCTTCTCTCTCTTGTTCAGGGGAAACGCATGCAAAGACCTGCGACCCATCGTCGGAGGTGCTGTATTTGGGGCACTGAAGGTTTAGAAACATTTCCCACAGTACAGCGCAGCAAAAATAGCTATTTTTAAACAACAGCAGCTAGTCAACCCGACACCGGCAGCTAGAGAGCATTCCGGAGCTGCATGGGACGACCAGGTTGCTCATGGAAGAAAGCAGAGGGACCTGTTTAGGACAAGGAATAACTCCCTGACCTGTTTTCTCTTGGCCCACATGCTTGGTTAGTCTAAAATATTGCTAAAAATGGGGAAAACAGTTGTCACCATGTTTTAACGGTGAAGTTCAAGCCCACTCTTCCTCTCTTCCTAACTGAGGTTCACTGTGCTGAGCTGGGTTCTAGAGAGGGTCTGCAAACTTTGTTTCATGTGAACTGGGGCGTAGCAGCTCAGCCCCTATACTCCGTCTATGCAGGGAGCCTGGGATGCAGAAACGTCTTCCCATGTGCTCGCCCATGCAAGGAAACGCTGCTGTGGTTCTGTCCAGCGCAAATGCCCAGAGCCCGGCAATATTTAACACAGTCTGTCCCAGACCGCAAAGACACGAATGTGTAGAAGCCTTATTTCCCAAAGCAGCCAGACTTCATCTTACTGCTTTGTGAACTGCGGATATTGACGACAAAATCCAGGCAAATGCGGGCGGGACCCTCTGTGGCTGGCAGCAGCCCGCGCGCCTGGTGTGCTGCGCGGAGGATGCGCTGCCAGGGGTGGCTTCTGCGGCGCCGCGCGGGCACCCACGGGGCCTGGGGAAGGCGCCCGAGCCAGAAACCACGCAACACAAAATGAACGACGCGGCGTCATTGCCAGAGCATCTCGGGTAAACCCTGAGAGGAAGGCGCTTTGTACGTTCCCTGCGCCCCGCTTCTGTTTGGGTTTTGCGCATCGCCTATCGGAATCACATGCTGGGCTGTCTGTCTTGCAATTACTTCTCAGGATTTATTTCCTTCTCCATTCTTCCTTTTTGGCATCTCAGTATGCTAAAAGAAAAAAAAAAACAACCTGCCTCCATTAAAAATGCGATAAATTACCACTACTATTGAATTTCAAACCCACTGGCGCTGCGTTGCCCCGGGGAGATGCATGTCCGCTCTGCCCTTTCCCCTTTCTCACCCACGCGGTAGTTCTGAGGGGCCAGGGGCGGGAGAGCCGGCTCCGTGTCCCCCAGGGCCCCCACGTCCTGCGCGTGTGTGCACGTGTGGGCGTGCGGGGGTGTGGGTGCC